CTGTCTCTCTCTGTCTCTCTCTGTCTCTCTCTCTCTTTCTCTCTCTCTCTCTCTCTCTCTCTCTCTCTCTCTCTCTCTCTCTCTCTCAAGCCTGTTGTAACCCCAGACTTCTATTCTGATGGCGACATGGGAGATTCTTGACCCACATTAGATTGCTAACAGTTCTTTCTATCCCCTCTTTTTGTTGTCGACTCAATTATTGAACGAAACCAGAGCACACACAATTCTCGAGAGGGTAATTTTCTTGTTGTAAGAATGCGCCTAACTCTTCACATTTATGCTTTCCTTGTACAGGGGGACCCGTCTGCGTGTCGCTAAATTACAGCCCTTGGCCAGCCTATGATTTATAATTACGGTGTACCCCTTTCTTCATCTCACTTAATAATAATAACTCCACTTACCAAATAATGACAAGATGGAAGGTAAAAACTAAATAGAGCACAGACATAATTATTCACGTAACTCCATAATCCCTATTCATTGAGAATTATTTCAACTAAAAAGAGCAGCTAAGTTCGTGAGACGTGAATCATCTTATTTTCTTGTCTGCATGAGTCTTTTGATCTTCTTTTTGTAGCGTCAGGTTTAATAACTGTCTCTTCTCAGGGTGCATCTTCCTTTTAAAAAAAGACTGGGAAATGTGTTAATGGCCCACTTACAAATGTCACAAGGTACAGGTGGAATGTCTTGCCTGCCCGTCTCCCCGGTGCAGATAAATCAGAATACTGTACGAGACATTCGATATGGGTAATTATCCCTCCCTCCCTCCCTCCCTCCCTCCCTTCACAAAGGCAGGTGATGCTTCACTGGGCCTCGTTCACACAAAACATGATGATGATGATGATGATGCCTGATTCCACCACGCTGCCTCACAAATGTCTGAATAAATCAAATAAATACGTGTTTCTATTGGGCTTTCTGCTATACAAAATACCTCGGCCCACTTACCAGAACCCCCTCCCCTCTTTCCCCCCTCTTTTCCTTCAACAGTGGGCGGTTGGCGGGTGCTCTATTGTGTTTTGCTCCTTCATTTCTATCAAACATCTTGTGTCCAAGGATACAGCGTCGTGCCTGAGGCTCGAACACCCTAACCTGCAACCTCACGATTACGAGACTGCTAGCCTCGCCACTAGACTGCTGACGCCATAATAGTATTATTAAAAGATTCTACATAGGTCTCCTCTTTCTATTACTTGTGCATCATAGAGCAGCCTGGAAAACAAAAAGAAGAGTTGACTAATAAAGTAATATTATTGGGTTTTTTCTGAAAACGCAAAGTCTAACATTATTCCTCTTTGTACTATACTTTGGTGTCTGTCTGACGTGTTGTATAATTTGGTCGTCTATCTTATGTATTGTATAAGTTGATCGTGTATAATTTGGTCGTTGGTTTGATTTGTTTGTATGATTTGGGCAGTGCCACTGACTGTAGTGTCTTTAGGCCATTCCCAAAGGGGGGACATTTCTCGTCCATGCACAGTACAATTGTAAATGGGCTGATTCATCAATGTCACGCTCATAACTGTGCCTGATCTACAACAGGGAACTGCTGCGTTTTCTTTCCTGATCCTTACTATTGTCATTTTCCTCTACTTTTTTTTGGTATGTCTGTCACTCTCTTGTGAATTTCTATTTCCGGGGTGCCTTGATAGTTGAAGCAGACTTTGTGCTGTTGAGGCTAGAGAGGTGAGCAGTCTAAGTCTGATTCCCTGTAAGGACTTCTCTGTTGACACCCACCCCTTGGCGCTCATATGACCTTATGCAGTTGCGGGCGCCGTAAAACCCTCGACTAAAAAAAAAATTTAAAACAGTGGCGGTGTATAATTTGATGGTCTGTCGGATGTTGCAGGTCCTGAAGCTGTATGCCTGGGAGGAATCGTTCCAGGACAAGATCCTGCGAGTCCGGCAGAAGGAGGTCGGGACCTTGACTCGTCTGGCCTGGCTCAACGCCCTCAGCATCTTTGTGTGGACCTGTGTGCCTTACCTGGTGAGTTGTGTGTACCTGTGTGTACCAGCGTGTACCTGTATGCCTTACCTGGTGAGTTGTGTGTACCTGTGTGGACCTGTGTGCCTTACCTGGTGAGTTGTGTGTACCTGTGTGTACCAGCGTGTACCTGTATGCCTTACCTGGTGAGTTGTGTGTACCTGTGTGGACCTGTGTGCCTTACCTGGTGAGTTGTGTGTACCTGTGTG